TTGCAAGTTTGCCAAAAAGGGGTTAACACCCTCTCAAATTGGTGTTATTCTTCGTGATTCTCATGGGATTGCTCAGGTGAAGAGTGTCACTGGCAGTAAGATTTTGAGGATTCTCAAGGCTCATGGTAAAGGCCATCCATACTCGATGTGCTTTGTTTTCCTTCGATAGCCATGGAAGAATTAGTAACTGTCAATTTTTTTTTTTTTTATTTATGTTTTAATTTTATCCCCTATCAACAGGGCTTGCTCCTGAGATTCCTGAGGATCTGTACCATCTCATCAAAAAAGCTGTTGCCATCCGGAAGCATCTGGAGAGGAACAGAAAGGACAAGGACTCCAAATTCAGGCTGATTCTTGTTGAGAGTAGAATTCACAGACTTGCTCGTTACTACAAGAAGACCAAGAAGCTCCCTCCTGTCTGGAAATAGTAAGTCCCATGCTTTTACTTCTCCCGTGCAGAGTTGTGTAATAATGATTATTAACTTCTTGAAAATTCTTGGTTGATCATCGTTTATATCTGTTCTGGCTATCTATTGTTAATTCCATTGTTTTGGGTTATCCAAGATCTCAGTGTGTCTTAGTGTTTAGTATGCTTGTGAATCTACAGGAGTGACTATTACAATAGTGTAACCATCTGCATTTTTCTCTGCAGTGAATCTACAACAGCTAGCACTCTTGTGGCTTGAAGAGTATGCAAGGAAGAAAATGGGTTTTTTGTATTTTCAGTCATATTTTAAAAGGCGAGTATCTTGATTTTGGATGCATTTGCTTATGAGACCTTGTATTTGTTATGAGACTAGTTTAATCGAATCGAATGTTTCAGTTTGCTTAAACGCGCTGTTTTGGAGATTTTGTTAGTGCCTTGTTCAATTATCCATTTTTATTTCGAGTTTGATATGATTCATTGGTTAAGCATGCAACTACTCAAAAGCCAATCCTTTTCAAGCATTTTAGTACAATCTTGCAATCCGTGATAGATATGGAATTGTGGTATGTTTGGACTTATGCAGACTAACATTTTATTGCAATTTTAACTTA